TTTTTTTTTTTTTTTTTTTTATTTTTTTCCCTCTCTGCTGGTTGTTATATGCTCTTGGATGACTGTGCCCTCATGTTTGCAGTCCTTTTCCCAGCCCCTGGCAGCCGTGGTTTCACCCGGCTCTCACGGCTTAACTCTTTCACTCAGCGCCGCTTCCCTGGCAGGGGCACCATCCAAATTGCCTTTCTCAGATTTCATTTCCTTGCCTGTGCTGCCAGGGACGTGGCTCTTTGCAAACCTTTTGAGCTGAGGTCAATGAACTGTTTATTAACTACTCTCTCCTCCCTACACTGCCCTGAAAGGATCGTGGCGATAGTTTGGATCTTTTGGAAATTAAATATAATGTGCTGAAGCCAAAAAAGCACTATGATGGGACAWGGGCCCAGATTTCTGGTGGAAGGTGTCCCTGCCTGTTTTGGGGGGGTTGTAACTCAATGATCTTTAAGGTYCCTTGCCACCCAAACAATTCTATAATTCTTCAGCTAAAGTAGAATGRGTTCATTGTAGATCTCATGCCTAAGAGCAGCTGATTTCCATGCAGTGCTTAAATTTAAAGCTTTGGTCTTTGCTGGCTCAAAGCTTATGGAGGATCCTGCCCCTTCCTAAACCGTGTTTCCGTGCCCTGATCTCCGTGACTTTTCCTTCCAGAGCCCGGTTTGGAAGCGCCTCCCCACGCCTTCTGCTCCTCTCCCCGCYGCTCTCTCCTCCTGCCACTCCTCTCACGTGTCCTCCTTTCCTCCTCTCTCTCTCCAGGTGATCTGCACGCTGGTGGCGGCTTTCTTGCACTTCTTCTTCCTCTCCTCTTTCTGCTGGGTGCTGACCGAGGCCTGGCAGTCCTACATGGCCGTGACGGGCCGGTTACGGAACCGCATCATCCGCAAGCGCTTCTTGTGTCTCGGATGGGGTGAGGATCCRGGGGCTGYGGAGCAGAGAAGGGCCAGGCTGCACCAGGGGGCTCAGCAGAGGTGGCTTGAGACCTTCACAGGGGTTTCAAGAAGGGCTGAAATGGTTAAAAACAGCACAGAGCCCAGTGCACTCTAAAATGGAGGAGTAGAGTTCAGGTTTCAAAGGGTGCGCTGGGGATGGTTCCTCCTGGGGTTGGGTCTGATTCTTGCTTTCTATTTTTCTGTCTCTGTCTGTCTCACCCGTGTTGGATTTGTTCCATTGGTACCTGGTACAAGCCAAGGGAGTCTTAGGATCAAGGCAGGGATTGTCCCTCTGTGCTGGCCACTGCTGAGGCCACACCTCGAGTCCTGGAGTCAGTTTTGGACCCCTCACTACAACAAATACATTGAGGGGTTGGAGAGTGTCCAGAGATGGCAACAGAGCTGGGGAAGGGTCTGGAACAACAGGAGTGGCTGAGGGAGCTCAGCTTGGAAAAAAAGAGGTTCAGGAGGGACCTTCTGGCTCTGCACARCTCCCTGACAGGAGAGGGCAGCCAGGTGGGGCTGCTCTGGTCCCTGGTAAAAGTGATAGAACAAGAGGAAATGGCTCAAATTGTGCCAGGAGAGGAAGTTTAGATTGGATATTTGGAAAAATTTCTTCACTGAAAGGATGGCCAAGCATTGAAGCGTCTCCCTAGGGAAGTGGTGGAATCACCATCCCTGGAAGTGTTCAAAAACCCATGAAGAAGTGACATTTAGGGYSACAGTGGTGGACCTGRCAGTGCTGGGTTAATGGYYGGACTCRRTGGTCTTAGAGGTCTTTTCARCCTTAATGATTTTACGGTTCTAAGATTCCACGGAGTGAAGCAAACTCTGAAWTCCCGTCTCCATGGCAGCAGCGCCTTTTTGGAGACAAATAAACTGCGAGACTGCTGCAGATGCTTGTAACTAATTTTTCTCCCTCTGCCTCTGCCGTATGTTTAATTTATTAGCCTTAAATGATGCATTCTGTAGTAGAAAACAAATACAAACCCATRAACCTGAGCTTTCAAAGCGATAACGAGGGTGTGTTTGAAGGGAGCAGCAGCACCAGAAGTTGCTGAGAAGGGAGGAGGCGAAGGAAAGAAGGGAGAGGGAAAGCCTTGTGTGGCTGAGCTCTGTTAATGTCTCATTTTACTACTGAAGTCTCACAACTCACCCCAGGCGAGAGGTTTCTGGTGCTTACCAAGCACCCTGACGTGATTTATTCTGGCACATCAAGAGCTGTCCTCGTTGCAGCACCTGCACCCCTTTAAGTTTTCCCTCCTAAGCTTTTGCTTACAAYGGAGAATAAATTGTTATTAAAATCYAGRGTTTGTGTGCAGCAAGAGYAGAACCACRGTACCTGCAGAGCAYGGGCTGCAGGAGCCTGGGTGTGCTCATGCATATGTTTATCCCTCCTTGGTGACTCCAGAAACATCAGGGATAAYAAATGCAACGGGCTAATAGCTTTTCTAGGTAATAAAATGGGATTTTTTTTTTTCTTCCGATTCGTAAAAGCTAGGACAGATGGGTGTGTTAGCCGTGGGAGTTTTGGATGAGCAACATTCACATTTGTAGCCTGTACAGATTTAAAAAAAAAATTTAAAAAATCCCCCTACATGTGTAGAAGCATAATTTGCACTGCTAGTAAAATGTAGTCAGCTCTGAGCTAGGATGCACTGCTGATAAATGATGCATAATAACCATTTGGAGTAGGTTAGGACAAGAACTGAAGAACACTCTCGCCTATTAAGGCAGCAAGGGAATTTGGGATATTTAGCATCCTGCTAGACTTCAGCTGTAGAGCTGGGATTAATGGCACTTGTAAGAGGAAAGAAGCCGAAAATATGTTTTAAAGAGCGTAATCTGAAATAATTAGCACAATTCACTTTGTCATGGGCTGATTCTCCCCCCTTTCCCCTCTTTGCACATTTGCATTTCTCTAAGCCCTCGTTCGAGACGTCTTTGCCAAGTTCTCAGCTGCTCTCAGCTGTGGCTCATTGAAGCTGCAGAGAATTTCAGCAGCAGGGAGGATTATTTTTTTATTTCTTCGGTCTCCTCTTGGATGTGCAACTTGGCAATTTGATTTTTAAATTATCATTAATAATAATTACTATCARTAATCGTTGTCTGTGTTTGGACAGYGCTCTCAAGCGATCCTATGYAGGGTCAGGAGCTGGATTTGCTGATCCTTGTGGATCCTTCCAATTCAGGATATTCAATGACTCTCTGATTTAGAACAGGCAGATGAATTGTTCCCTGAAAACAACTCAGTCATCATATTTAGCCCCAATAAAGAAGAAATATTTTTGTCAGGATTTTTATGACCCCATTACAKTTTCCACAACTGGATTTTTAATGCTGCCATAGCTCAGCCTCCAAGTGGGCCTTCAGCTGTTTATAACAAGAATGGCTCTTGGGAGTTATTAGCAAACATCTTTTCTAGTGGAACATGATTAACACATGGCCTGATTCTCCTCTGACCTGGAAGTACAAAACTCTTTGAAAGAGGTTTTGAATGGAATTACTTGGAATTGTGAATGTTCCATTTACTTTGTTTAGAAAACCCCCAAAGCCTTGTTGGTACTGCCTGTACCACACAAGGTGTATGGAATAGGTCAGTTAGGAATAAATTTCATGGACATAATAAAAAAA